TTCCCCAGACTGAATCTAACTTCCCAAGCCAGCAAGCCAAAACACCATGCATTCCTTAGGGTAGTGCCAGTCTCATCTTCTTAAACTTCCCACGCTCCTGTTGGGGGCTAAGGGAATGCTTATCTCCCTGAGCGTGGCCTTCATCCAACCATTCCTTCACATCACCCCTCCCTCCATCTCCATCCTCCCCCTTGGAGTTCTCATGAGAACTGGGCAAAGGCGGTAGAGACAAAAGGTCAGGTGATGATGCTCTCTTGTTACCTCCTGGCTCCTCCTTCCAGCCATTCGATCGGTCCTGGAAAACAGCTACATTAGCAGAATCAGCCCCCCTCCTCCCTACCACATGCAAACCTGAAGTGGAAGGCTGCGGACTGCTTGCTTCAGCCCGCTCCTCCCCTAAAGCCCCCACCAAACCTTCCTCCAGTGTGCTGCCCTTGCCCTCTTCTTGCTGATTAACCGCTGGCGCGCTGGGCAGCACTTGAAGCTTCGGCTTGCTGGGGAAACGTCTATGGAAGTCAATGACCAGCTCCGGGACATGAACGTTCCTTGCATTCTCCCAAGAACACTCCGCTTCAGGATAGCCCCTCCAATGAATCAGATACTGAATTCCCTTTCCTCTCCTGCGAGAGTCCAGGATTGCCTCCACCTCATATTCCTCCTCTTCTTCGACTACAACTGGAGGAGGTGGGGAAGACTGCGTTCTCAAGGGACTTGGTGGAGCCTCCTTGACTAGTAAGGAGCGGTGAAAGACCGGATGGACCTTCATCGAAGGTGGCAGCTGCAAGCAAAAAGCTAACTGGTTCACCTGCTTCACGACTTTAAAGGGTCCGACGAACCGATCATCCAATTTTTTGGATGGCCTGTTGGAAGTTAAGAACCTGGTAGACAACCACACTTTGTCCCCCACAGAAATCTGTGGACCTGTCTGTCTGCGGGTATCAGCAGCTCTCTTGTACGCCTCCTTCACCCTTGCTAACTGATCTTTCAACAGTTGTTGAGCTGCCTGCTGTTCTTTCAGAAAATGCGCTGCCCCTGGGACCCCACCCTGTGACACAGTCTGTGGCAAAACCTGGGGGTCCCATCCATACAGCGCTTGAAAAGGGGACATCCCAATTGACGAGTGCACTGAATTGTTATAGGAGAACTCTGCCAAAGGAATTAGATCAGTGCAATTGTCCTGGCTGTAGGTAGCGTAGCACCTTAAATACTGTTGCAACATTTGATGGGTCCTCTCTGCCTCCCCATTGGTAGCCGGATGGTGCGCTGAAGACATGTGGCTGTGGACTTTCAACAGTCCAAAAAGAGCCTTCCAGAACTTAGAAGAGAACTGACTCCCTCTGTCCATTATTAACCTATTAACCATTCCTCTGAATCTGAAGACATGATCCAAAAATAGCTGTGCTGTGGCTGGGACAGAAGGCAGACCCTTGCATGGTATGAAATGAGCCATCTTAGTAAATAAGTCTACAACCACCAGAACTGAAGAATAACCCTTCACTGGTGGCAAATCAGTAATAAAGTCCATTGACACTGTATGCCAAGACTTGGGGGGAGTCTCTAACGGCTGCAACAGCCCAGCAGGCCTCCCATGAAAAGACTTAGCTCGCCTGCACGTGTGACAAGACACCACGTAATCTGTAATGTTTGCAGCCATTTTAGGCCACCAATAGTCTCTTAAAGTCCTATGCAGAGTCTTAAACACCCCCCCCCCCATGCCCTGCTGTTACATTATCGTGGCAAAGTTGTAAAACTTCCTCCCGCAGGGACAAAGGAACATATAACTGCCCCGTGTGATGGAGGTAGCCTCCTGCCAGTGAAAAGGGGGAACCCTCACCCTGCTGGGTGCCCTGGAGGTCGTCCATCCAAGCCCTCACAAAAGGGTCCTGCAACTGTTGCACCCTTATTCTTACCAATAAGTCTTCTGTCTGCTGACTTGCTCCCAACTTCTCCCCCGTGCCATCCAAGTCTTTAAAGTTGCAAGGCTGCAAGATCGCAGTGCACTATGGAGGCGGGTTGCTCGGCAATGTACTCCGGCCTCCGGGATAGCGCGTCGGGCATCAAATTACGAGAGCCAGGAATGTACGTGATGTAAAAGTCAAAACGTGAAAAAAACTGACTCCACCGCACTTGGCGCGGAGTGAGAGAGTGCGAGCTCTGCATTGCCTCTAAGTTCTTATGCTCCGTGCACACCCGTATAGGAAACCTCGCCTCCTCCAGCCATTGCCTCCATTCCTGGAAAGCTGCTTTAATTGCAAGTAACTCCTTGTTAAAAATATCGTAATTTCTCTCTGCTGGAGAGAGTGTGCGAGTGAGAAAGGCACATGGCAGCCACCCCCCCACCTGCCTCATCCGCCTGCAACAAGACCACCCCTATCGCCACATTGGAAGCATCTGTGTGGAATACAAACTGGCGGGAAGGGTCGGGGTGCAGGAGGAGAGGCTGGGAGGCAAAAAGCTGCTTTAACTGCTGGAAAGCTGCCTGCTCCCCTTCCACCCAAGCAAACTTTTTTCCTTTCTTCAACAGTTGCGTGAGGGGCTTCACGCACTCTGCAAAATTGGGAATGAACTTTCTGTAGAAGTTAGCAAACCCCAGGAAACGTTGTACACCCTTTACATTACAGGATGGGTGCCAAGACAACACTGCCTGCACTTTAGCAGGATCCATCTGCAGCCCCTCTGTTGAAATTCCAAACCCAAAATAATTCAATTGAGGCAAATTGAATGCACACTTCTCTGGCTTGGCAAATAGTTTATTTTCTCTCAGTCTCTGTAACATATTCCTCACATGCATCGTGTGTGATTGAACATCGTCAGAATATATCAGAATGTCATCCAAATAAATCAGCACATAGGAATCAATTATGTCAGAGAAAATCTGATTCATAAATCTAGAAAACACCACTCCACAGTTAGAAAGCCCGAACGGCATCACTGTATATTCATATTTCCCATATCTTGTGTCAAAGGCAGTCAGATATTCATGTCCCTCCTTCCCACAAATAAGGTTGTAGGCATTTCTAAGATCTAGCTTTGTGAAAATGCGAGCTTTTTGTAGCCGGTCTAAAAGGTCTGATATCAATGGGAGTGGATTGTTGTTGTTGTTCAGTCGTTAAGTCGTGTCTGACTCTTCGTGACCCCATGAACCATA